GATCATATTAGCACACATTTACACTATCATCTATCTCAAGGTTGCCCTCCAGGCGGCTCTAAACTATGTCAATTTCCCTATCTTCAACATGTAAATGCCCTCGGGCGTCCTCGTGGTGACGTAGGCATGGGAGTGCCAGGTTGGTAGGAACTAGACTTCGACGCCCCCTGGTCCTCTCCACATGCCTTCGACGACGACATCCTGCCCAGCGCCGCGGAGTTCCGGCAGCGTGGCTGGTCCCACCATTTGACGTTTCTGACGTATTTGACGTTTCTTTTGAAGAAGCTGCCTGCTCTGAATCAATCAAGGCTTCCGGTGCCGTCAGAGGCGTGCTCTCCGGTGCGCTCTTGACCATCGCTGCCTTGGCCTTCTTGGCCTGGTATTTGGCCCGCCACATCTTGGGCTGTATCCTTTGTTCACGCTCAGGGCGATCCTTAATCCTTACGTACGCCTCCTTGGCCTTCTGCCGCTTCTTTGCAAGGTAGGCCTCTCGAAGTACAGGGTTGGACTTTATGCGCTCACGACGCCTGCGGGTCCTTTCGGCGTCTGACATAGGCTTCTTCTTCTTAGCCATGGCCTGAAAAAGTAAATGTCATTGCAGTTACCTCACGTACATTAGAAATGAGAGCAGTCAACGCGCATTTCACACTTGCATGGAAGGACACAATATGTCCAGGAATGAATGAATGAAAGGATCGGCACTCGGAAATCGGTACAGATTTTTCTGCTCGTTTATCCGCCTGTTTCATGTTTTCCTCCAATGTTCATTCGTCCAGTCAATCCATTCATAAATAAGGATTTAGGTATGAATTTACTCAACTATTTTGCGAACAAAACTTGAAAGGTTTGATTAAACTTGATCATGTTATTCAAATTTGCCGCAGCGCCTACCAAAACAGAATCCCTACACGGTGGGGAGGGGATTCAGTTGGGCGCTGAAGCCCCCCCCCCTCCCCCAACTATCCTACGCCCCACCACCCTTGTGGCGCAGTTGGCAAATGCGTTCACGTTTGGTGTGGGAGGTCCTTGGATCAAAGCTGACCTCTGGCAGCGTTTTCCTCGGCCGGCTCCTACCCAGGAGATGGCAGTAACTGGGGAGTGTTCGCTCGGTCGTCGGGATTACCGCTGTGCCAGCCAGCGCCCCCGGCCGCAGGTGCACGGGCCTGATCCGCCTTTAAAGGGAGATAATGAGCTTTCTTTTTTCTTAAATAAAAATTACTCGACATCTATATATACTATTTCTACTGTAGTTTCTATAAAATATGAAAATTTCCTAGCACATTTTCGTATGTGAAAAAGGTTTTTATTTTTGCAAAAAAGAAGCAGTACTTGCAGTACTTGTAACACCCGCCGAAATGCGTTGTCCTTCTCTATAAAAAAGTCGCAGTATATGACGCTTTTGTTTCAAACAGCGACGCTTGGGTTTTTGTTTATGTTATCGCCTTGTCGTTGCTTGGTTGTAAGGATTCTAATTTGAATTAGAGTTAATTCGGTTTAGAATTAATTAGATTCTAATTCGGGGGTACATAGTGCCTACTCTTCTTTGTTTCCAAGCGCCACAAATGAACGGCATGCGCCAGAAACGCAGCCAAATCTTGCGATTGCGACTACGAAATTCATTATTTTGGCGTCAGAGCCTGAAGCGAAAAATACAAGCATATTTATTTCAAAAAGACTTCAGGTTTGTCGAACGGTGTTATGAGAATTTTGATAACAGTACTGCATAAGTTTTTCAGTGATGCCGCAAAAGTGTTGTATCTATCTTCTTTTATTGTGCAGTCGGCGGGACCGATTCAAAATTGAGTCGTTGCTACTAAAATAGCAGCATATGGCGTCAGATGATGAGCAGGAAAAATAGTTGCGTAAATTTAGACATAAACCACCCCCAAACATTGAATATCTTTTAAAGGCACTATAGACGACCATTAACTAACTAGATGTGATGAAGATCAAATGTAAGGAATACGCTCATTTTACAAAATTACATGCAAGTACCAAAAAGTGATGTAAGTACTTATTCAACGGTCATTTTCAGCGCTCCCCGCTAACGTGACTTCAAGTTGAGATATTTGCGGCAAGGTACCGAATTGAGCAAAATGGTTTTAATTTACATTATAACTTGTTGTGTTTTGTCAGAAAATGGTCCTAACTCAGATTTTGTGGAAAAAGGTCATTATCTCCCTTTAAACAGATCCTTCGGTCCGGTGACATGTCCCGAGGGCACGGCCTCGCTTCATGTCCCGGAGCAGCCCTCTGACCTGCCGGGCCCGAGAAATCGGGATAGCCCCAGCGTGCGCACCAGTGCGGTGCCACCTGGGGTGCGTGACAGGAAGCGTGCGGTCAAGGCTGTCCCGCGTAGCGGGTGCCGAAAACGATTCGTATCACTGCCGTTTATATAGTGTACTAACCCAGTATGAATGTGTGCTACTAACGACAAAAGCCCAGGTCGGACACCAAAAATATTTAAAAAAAAAAAACTATCCTACGCCCCTGTAAGAGTCACCGAAAGTGAGGGGCATGGGCGTCGACGCATTTGAGACCAACCAGACTAGTCGGACCACTTTTCGTGCTCCCAAAGAGCCGCCTCCCTCCCCTCTCAGCCGGTGCCGCCCCTTCAGCTGAATGTCACCCCAGCTATGAAGTTCCGCCCTCTCGCTCATGTGTGTGCCGCCGCTCGACTGTGTGCCGCCCCCTGAGCAAGAATTTGACCATCTTTTTTCGCGCGTCGACGCTCCTGGCGACGGGCGGCGGCCATGTGCCGGTGAGCAAATTCCGAGAAGCTTGGTATGTACAGTCGCCAGCACTTGCTACTAATCACCTCGTTTTTGCTCAGTAGTTTGAAGACCGATCAATTTTCAGTCGAGCAAGATACGTCAAACGATCGGTTTGGTCCTCCGATTTTCGAATATCTAACTTGTTTCTGTACACTGAAAAAAATAATGACACCTAAAAGGGGTGTTTTTTGAAGCGTACCAAAAACGCGCAGTTTTCTGGAGTCCGATTACACCCGGAATCAGACACTTTCTAGGGTATTATGACACTGGTTGAGGGTGTATTTTTATACCGTACGGCGTCAAATGATTCCCGGAATCATACGCCTTATGGAATAAAAGTACACCTCAAATCAGAGTCATAATACTCTAGGAAGTGTCTGATTCCGGGTGTAATCTGACTCCTGGAAACTGCGCGTTTTTGGTACGCTTCAAAAACACCCCTTTTAGGTGTCACTTCAGGGAGTAATCGGATTTTGAGGGTGTATTTTGATCCCACACGGTGTATGATTCCGGGAATCATTTGACGACATGTGGTATAAAATACACTCCCAACCAGAGTCAGATTACCTCGGGGGGTGTCTGATTCCGGGTGTAATCGGACTCCTGGAAACTGCGCGTTTTTGGTACGCTTCAAAAACACCCCTCGTAGGTGTCACCTCAACGGTGTCAAATGACTCTTGGGATGGTTTTTCTATATCGATACAGAGCCTGTTCCTGTTAGCGTCATACATCAGCTCAGAAAAACAGGTCGCCTGGGCCCTTATCTTGAGACCAATAGTATGGTACAACTAACCAACATACCCATGGGTATGTTCTGCTTCTGAAGCTTATAGGAACGATTAGCCAGACTGCAACGAGACATTAAATGTAGCTTACATGTGTCTTCGCCCTTGCAGCTACAATTTTATCTATTGACGATGACGTCTTCTTTTCAATCAGTCTTTATACCAGATATTGCCAAATGATTCTCGGAATCATACACCTTATGGGATCAAAATACACTGTCCAACAGAGTCATAATTGCAGTTGTTAACCACGTGACGCAAATTAACAATACATGCATGTCATTCTTTATTTTATATGCAACAATAAATTCCAAAACATTTGGGCACGAAATGTATGGCAAAATCTAATGAAAACTTATCGTAAGGCTCATGGGTCCGTGACTTCATTCACCGTAAGGAATTACTCACATTTCAACAATGTTCCATCACCCGGTGATTATTGCTACTTAGGTAGAGTTATTCTGCAGCTTAATGACATAAAAACTTACCTCAGTCTCCATGGTGCGTTGCTATCTTGTCCTACTTCAAAATTTCGCCGAGTGCAGCGCCTCGTTATTTAAATACGCATTTTGAGCAAACTACAAATAAAATCTGAAGTTTATCGTTAAAACACTATCACTTGAAGTAAATCTACACTTTAAACAACGTTTGGCGACATTACAAGCGCGTTAATTCAAATAAGTTCCTCTCCCCGCTCACACCACACGCACCCACGTGGGCACACTTCCGGCAACTGAAGTCAACGGCTTTCCTAACGGTTTTCCTGCAAGGTTGAGCTATTTCATCTTCGTGGCGGACCGGCATGGCTAGAACACAAATGACGTCACACGACAATGCAGCTTGCTGATTGGCCGGGCATTGACTCAAACCACTGGACCTGAGCTGTGGTTCGCACCAGGGTTACAGAGTCAGAGTCAGAACTCAGAGTCGGGTGGAGTTGACAGTTGTGGCCGGAGTCAGAGTCGGAGTCGACTTTGGAAGCCGGAGCTGGAGTCGGAGTCTGGGTCACCGAAAATCAATTGATACCGCAGCGTATCCGGACAAATCTTTGCATGGCATTTCTTCGTCGCGCAATTCTTCGTCCGCAAAACTTCGTCCGCGCATTTCTTCGTCCGCGCATTTCTTCGTCTCCGCCTTTCTTCGTCTTGCATTTCTTCGTCTCGCATTTCTTCGTCTCGCATTTCTGTGATTTAAGTGGTCCCTGTGTGTGTACCCAAGTGTTTCTCCCAAGTGTTTTAGTTGCGTTACGTCTAGGGGATTCGTAGATAAAATGTCTGCTGCCACACCGAGTGCTTTAATTACGTTACGTCTAGGGGATTCGTAGATAAAATGTCTGCTGCCACCCGCGATGATAGTTCACCCGGCCCACTGATCTCTGCCCAACACACCCGTCCCTCTGCCCCTCTGTACCATCCATCACACCATCACACAAAGACACGTACAGTGGGCTAAAATATATTCGAACAGGCCGAAAAGGGTAAACGTCAATAATTTAACAATTGCCTGGAGTCCTTAGAAGCTAAAAAGTAAACGTTGCCGAAAAAGGCGGACTCAGGCTGAGAATACCCGGTATATGTTACCGTGGTAGTAAATAAAAGTGGCCGAAATAGGGTGCTAAAAAACACATAACCGAACAATATGCCGAAGCACAAGGTTACCGAAAACAGAATGACCGAAACAGTGTCAAGACAGTGCCGAACAAGTATTCGGAACGGAATGGGCCGTAACAGTGCCGAACAAGTTGCCAAAACAGTGCCAAAAGTAATCGAAACAGAATGTCGAAACAGTGCCAAACCAAAATGGCAAAATCACCAAAGTGTAGAGCGCTTATTGGTCGCTCGATTATGTACCGAGCTCTTCGGTTGTTTGGGGCGGGTAAAGCTGAGCCTTGGCATCGGGGGAGTGTTTGTTGGTGGCTCCATCCGTAGGCCGTAGTCTTGCGCTCTGAAAAAGGGAGAAGTTAAACGGACACGATAACGCCGTGTAGTTTATCGGCCCGGTTCACCTCGTACGTACTATGGACCTGTGGAAAGTGCTAGGGGAAACTGTAAAACCTGTAAAGAATACTAGGGTAGCTTGGTGAATAGCCTGGGCCTGTTGTCGCCGGAATCAGTATCTGTAAATAGAGAACGTTAGTGGGGATGAGGTATGACCTCACCTTTGGTCGGCCGTGCCGACCAAAGGTGAGGTGACTTAAGACTTACATTGTTGGGTTGCTGGTGGAGCGTTCAGTCGAGTCGGAGCACTGCACAGTAGGCCGGACTGGAGCGAGAGTGACGCTGGCTTGGAGGTTAGCCCTTTTATACGCCTCCAGCAGCCGTTCTCGCATACATTATCGCTTGTTGTCAACCCACGCCTTCCTCGTTTATCTCGGTCTGACCTCGGTCTACCCTTCACCCGTCTGTCCCAACGTTGTTTTTTATCAGGGTTTGTCTGCTTCTAATCTGCATATCCGCCACCACACTACCGCGCTATTTTATGGTGCTATTGTCTACTTCTAATCTCCTTTACGCATACCCATCACTACAATATCCACCACCACAAACAGGTTGCACATTGTCATTGTGTTCTTCTCTCGTTGTTCCTTGGTCAGGGTCGGCTTCTCTGCTGCGGTGTGGCACAATGCTGTATGTGGCAAGTGAGGTCGACACACACACACACACACACATTACAAGGCAGCAGTGCATACAGTTTAACTAGACCGAAGCGCTATTTTTTCACATCCCTCCCTATTTTATAAAGATGCACGGACTTCCTCCTTTGGGGTCAAAAATCGTCGTTGCGCCGCTACGGGTCTCAAGTTGTCCAGTCTGTCCAGTCATGTCGTGCGCGGATGGGAAGTAAGGATAGCTACGAAGGATGCCTGGAGATATCCGGAAGAGAGCTCTATTCGCCAAAGTCCTATCCAGTGTTTGTTCCTTGCCCTTACATTCTTTCCATCTTTGGGTTACTCCTAATCACGGTTTGTACGCGACGCGATTGATATACCTTATATAATAAAGCCAATCTTAAGATCTTGTAGTCATTTAGTTGCCGATAGTGGATAGATCCTCTGCCACAAAAGATGCTAATCTGAATCATCCGGGAACCATATTCACCTTCTGTTGACCACTCTGCTGATTTTAGGACCGTCAAGGGAGGATAAGTTTTTGGGATACCCGTTGGAGTCAGACGTGAAGCAAATTTTCAGCTGCGCGACCACGCTGTGCCGACCGACCACGCTGTGCCTACCGACCGCTCTCAAGATTGCCACTTACTTCGGGGGCGAATGCGTCGAGGGGGTGTGATCGGTTGCCTCGGTTGTCACAGAGGCACTGTCTCCCGTCGTCGAGTGGTACTCTGAATCAAACCGAGAGAAAAAGGGCTACGAAGTGACTGCTGGGGATGAAGCCAACCTGTCGGCCGAGAGATCTGGACTCGGTGTGGACCCTATTGGGTATCCTTGATACCGCTGTTGAGCTGCCAGGACAGCCACCGGTGCCAGTACGAATACCTGAGGGCATCGAGAGGGGCCGGTTGATGTAAACCTCATGGCTATGTCGTGGGCTCAAGAGTCGAGACGGTTCTGAACCGAAGCGATCTGGTCTGCACACTCTAACGTTCATCATTGGTGATGACGTTATGGATCCTCATGGATCTCGTCTCAAGGCTTCTCAAGGCTGATACTCCAGCCCTCTGCAGTTTTAGAGCACCAACGAGCTCAAGGTTGATCGTTGTACTCACCTCGACTCAGAATATAGCCGACCGTCTGCTAGACTTTAGCAAGTGAGCACTTCCCGTCATCGTATCAAGGGGGTTCTTACACGGTAACGTCCATGGTTCGGCGTCGCCGACGTCGAGACCTCACTAGGCGGTGACTTTCTGGAGCCTCGGTCGGTGAGCCCATCAGGTCCTTCACACGGCGATGTAGCTTCCACATCGCTACGGACAACAGCATAACGGTCACCAAGTTCAACGTAAGTAACCCGGTGAATCCGGTGATCTGGCTCTGCGGGTTTGATATCCATCTGTAGGGATGATAAGGAGACAATTGATTTTGGAGTGCCTCATACTGCTGAATGGTTTTGTTAAAGGTTCTGAGCCTCATCGCATCTTTACCGATATCTGTGGTTTCAGTGAGATGGTTCAAGAAGGACGAGGTGTTTACGGGAGGCGTCAACATTGATGTGATATTACTCCAGAGACTCATGGTAAAGTTAAGCGAGAAAAGATCCACTATCGGTGCATCTGGCAGACTGATCTTAAATTGCCCCTTACCGTTGACGTAACTGGGAACCCTAATTGACCCGAGGGATGCTTCGCATCCCGGCTGTAAGCGGAACATACCGGTACCGGTCAGCTCATATTGCCCGGCGGGGTGGTGAGGAGGAGTACTCGTCCTGCTCTGGTTAGAGCAGCGGACCAGTAGCGTTCCTTTTGCTGCTCCATATAACCACACTCCCATACCAACGTGGCGAAACATCGGCCCATCGTGGTATTGCACCTGTGTCGGGCAGCTGGTTCCGGTCGGCTGGTCTGAAAACAGATCATACAAACAACGGCTTTCTTGAGATCGAGGCGACTGTACTGCTTCCTTGAGCGCACAAACCCTAGGGCTTTTCCCTTTACACTGTGCCTCGCGACGATTTGTCATGGTGAAGAAGTTGCCTGGACTGCCGGGCTGTGTCGTGAAAAAATCGGATCCTGATTTCTGAATGGCCAAATAAGGGGAGTCAAATCGGTAGGAAAAGAAGAGCTTCTCCGGGAACTTCGGGTGAACCACAGGCATTGCGATGGCTTCGTAGAGCTGATACCTACCAGACTCCTTGATGATTGGGATCGCCATGCAAAAATTGACCCCGCCCTCCGTTTGGTGGGTTTCCGTGGTTATGTAACGAAGGTAGGAATAATGGTCGTCTGTTTCATACAAAAGTTTCCATCCGACTGGAAGATGTTGTCCTAAGTTTAACAGGATATCTCTGAAGACCTTATCCTCCAGTAGTTCCCAGGCTAGAGCTCCTTCACCTGCTTGGGCAACAATGCGCTGTATGGTAAAAAGACCCTTTTGGGACTGGGCCAGACCCTCGCCGAATTAAGTCAGCCGCTATCACAAGTTCTAATCCTGCGGTAGCATGTGCCACTCCTATACTGAGCCGACTGTCCACGGTCTGAATTTGGCTTAGAGCGGCTGTCACCCCGTTAATTGAAGCTTTGATTCGAATGACTTCTTCTCCGTTGTGGAGAGTTTGTGAAGCTACAGTTTTAACATAACTGAACTGTTGGTCAACACGGTGAGATATATTTTCAGTTTGGTTGGCCAGTGAAGCGATTTGTGCCGACTGACTTTCAATGTCTCTCTCGGTACTAAATCCAAACAAATATTTTCCAACGTCACTTACGATGTTAACTAAGCCGCGACGTTGCCGGGCGTCATTCTCCCGGATAGTTCGTTTAACAGAATTGAGAGTTTGTTGGTAGGCGCTAAGGTCCTCTCTGAAGGCGGTGGAGAATTTCTTCCACGTGGCCGTCAATGCGTCTATCACTGGAACTTTGTCGGACTCGACCTGGCCCCTCACGGCTTGTAGATGCTGCTCTACCCGAGATATCTGTTCCAGGAGGGAGGTATGGGCTTGCTCATACGTCACCAAGCTGATGGTGGTGCAGATTGTCCAGTCAGAACCCGTGATTATGACTTCACCCAGGGGCTGGAAGTACACCCCGTGATGAAGTTGTATCTTCGCCTGGTTTTGGTCCCCTCCGACGTCTCGGGACAACAGCAGTAGCCAGACCAAATACACCAGCCGCCTAAAACAAAACGGGTAGGATCAATCGCTAGTGGATGAGTAGGGTCACTGGTCAGCATGGGTTAAGGGGAAAAACGTTGAGGTGCTTGACGCCTTCTGCTCGACCTTCGAGGAACGACCGGCGGTGAGGGAATCGTCATATAGTAGCCGTCATCATCAGGGGTTTCCGAATCAGCTGTCTCTAATGTCTCGGAACTATCTGAGCTCAGTCTATTGGTTCCTAAGGTCTCCAATACATTAGTCACTCCGCTGTCTGACCCTGTCCTGTCTGACCTTGTCAGAGGTCTGGTCCTTTCTGGTCGGGGCAGAGCTAGTCCAACCAAGTCTGTGTCCTGTTCGTCGTCCGGTCCTGACTCACTAACATCGCTACTATCGACTGAGGGAGCCTGATCCCTCCTGAATGTATGGACTTTCCTCAAGGCGTCCCGATACACAGATGAGACATGCTGGGGTTTGAGACGGTCACAATGCACTTTCTCTGGGGGATGCTTCGAGCCTGGTTTCCTTACCTCGTACGTGAGACCATTGTCGTGAAGTCCCACTACCACGTATCCAGGCTCCCATTTCTTTGTCAGTTTTGAAGCATCTCCTGGTTTGACGGCAGGACGATATAGGTAGACCAGATCTCCGAGCTCGTACTTCTTGTCTCGTGCTCGTCGGTTGTAGTAGTCTCGTTGGTATCGTCTCGCGGTCTTCTGGTTCTCGATCGTTTTGCTGATAGCGTCGTACTGCCGCTCCTTTAACTGGGTCACCAGGTCAGAAAGTTCTGCGGAATAGTCGGGTGGTTTTGATGCCAGCGCTTGTTCTATCGGCAACCTAAACTGTCTGCCGTACATCAGGAATGCTGGGCTCCAGCGGTTGCTGGTTTGGAACGTGGAGTTCACCGCGTACTGGGATGCACCCAGGAATACGTGCCATTCCCGCTGCGTTCGATCTAGCGCCGTGGCTAGCATGGTTTTCACAACTCCACACATCCGTTCTACGTTGGAGTTAGCTTGGCTGTGATAGGCAGAAATGAAAACATGTCGGACATCAAGTAACCGGTTGATTTCAGCAAGGAGCGACGCACGGTATTGGGGACCGTTGTCTGACACCAGGTAGTAGGGGATGCCGTATCGGAAAAAAGTTGCGACCAGGGCTTGGGCAACCGTTTCGGCTGTGGTGTCCTGTAGAGGAACGAGCTCCACGAACTTGGTGAAGGCGCACACGATCAAAAGGATCCAACGGTAACCTTGAGGGGTTTCGGGGAGAGGACCCATGATGTCGGTGTGAACCGTTTCCCATGGTCCATATGTGACTGGGGTCTTACCCAGAGGGGCATGGAGTGCCCGCCGGTTGCGTTTCGTGCTGTGGCATTTGACACAACTGTCACAGTAGGCTTTCACATCTGACGTCATCGAAGGCCAATAGAATTGTCTGCTCAGGTGTTCCTGTACAGCCCTTGCATGGTAATGGCCTGCCAAAGGATGGCTATGATGCTCTGCAATTAGCTGAGGGGTCATCTCACGGGGTACCACCACTCGTACTGGGTCAGCCTCCGTGGGTTGATAACATAGGATTCCCTCGCTATTCAAGTGATACGACGGTAGGTCACGCCAGAGGCGACGGTTGCCTCGGACTCGTTTCCCTTCCAACGTTTCAATCAATGGTATCCACAATGGGTCTGACCTTTGCAGTCTGGCGATCTCCGACAGATGGTTGTCCAGAGTTGACTCCGCCTCGGGAGAGGCTGCGCGCTGTGGAGTGACTCTGGGAGTTGTCGGAGGCGCTGCTACACGTGAGGTCTCCGAGAGGACGGATCCAGTCCTCCTGCGGGCCCCGGTGGGTCGACCAGAGGTTTTCGTTGTGGTTCGAGGTCCTGATGATGCAGCGGTCTGTTCGACGCCGTCTGCCGTGGCCTGGTCCCCGTCTTTCGAGGCCTGGTCCTCTGTTCCTGAAGTTGTCGAGAACAGGGCGGCTATACCGATGCCGATGTCAGGGTCGTCGAGGGTTAGTTCTCGCTGAAGATCCTTCCAGTCGTCCTGTACCGCTCCGCGAGAAAGAGAGTCAGCCACGACGTTCTTTGGACCAGGGACATATCGTATCGTCATGTTCAGACCTTGTAGTGCTAATTTCCACCGCTCCAGGCGGGTGTTTTGGACTCTACCTTTTTGGGCATGACTGAGGACATATTTGAGAGGGGCGTGATCGCTTTCCAGAACAAAGGATCGCCCATGTATGTAGTAATGGAATGCCTGAATACAAGAAACGATGGCCAACGCTTCTTTCTCAATAGTACTGTAATTTTTCTCTGCCTTGTTCAACGTACGTGAATAGAAGGCAATGGGACGCCTCTCACCTGTTTCTGTTTCCTGGCTGATCCATCCTCCCACACCTTTGTCACTTGCATCTGAAGCGACGATGAAGGGACGGTTAGGGGAGAAATCGGGATATGCCAGTACGTCGGAGTTGACCAGGGCATCTTTGAGAGCTTCAAATGCCGCGTTACACTCAGGGGTCCAGTTGAAGTGGATCCCTTT